ATTTATGACTACCGTTTAAAAGAAACATAGCATAGTCAACTCTTTGGGGACCCGATGGCACGGCGTCAGAAAGCAGTGGCCACAGCCCGGACAACGAGACAAGGAGGTCCCAACAGAGGAAGCAAGAGGCCTTGTATCGAGTGCCAGGGAACCAGCGACTTGAATTGGGACCTCCAGTCTGCAGAATTGTGACAAAGAAAATAAATGTCTCTTCTTGGAAGCCTCCTCCTTGTGATGGTGTTAGGTAGCAGAACGGGGACCAGGGTGTCCACCAGGCACGTGCCAATTCAGGCTCCAAGCCAGGAAGGGGCGGTACACCTAGGTGGGCGGGTCACTTGGATTGGCCCAATCTAGGTCAGGTGGGCTTAATTCAGTCAATGGGGTCAACCACGACCGTTGACCACGCTCCAGCGGAAGACGTTAAAAAAGGTCAGAACTGGGAAACCACCTTCTCTTTGCCCACGGCTTCTCTGCCTTCCAAGAGAGTCTGCCCGTGGTCCCTCCTATTTTCTCAGGCCTCGGGCCGCCACGTGGGCGTGTGTAGCCCCACGAGGTTGCCCGTTTTCTCACCTGTAAAACCTGAACTTCTTCTGTCCTTTATGAAAACTCACTTGGGCCCCAAACTAGGCTTCGGCGTGAATTCTTTCTCGTTGGAAGTCAAGGACCGAGGCATTTCCCACCCGAGGAAGCGAGCAGGATGTGTGTCCTGGCAGCCCAGGAACACGGAGAGACTGTAAGACCGTCTTATTGGATCTCGGCTACTGATAATCGTGAGATCGACCACCAGAGTTCGAATTAAGAGAGTCTTTATTTATCTGGCCAGTGACTGCCTCGGCCCAACACAAGGGCTTGAGAGAGCAGCCCCTTGCCTGGATAGAGTTGGGCACTTGTACTTTCACAATTCTACACGAAGGCAGTGAATCAAGCTACAGTTTTTACACAAGGCGGTTAAGTAAGCATTTCCAGCACCCTCACGTTCTTCAGTTCTTGCCGGCAGCCTTACCTCTGGGTGTCACGCTGAGGCATTGTTTTGTTAGCAAGACTTGCCTTTCATATGGTAATTTATGGGTGACTAAAGGCAAGCGAATATTTACAAAGGGGATAGAGCATTAGTTAGGCTTAGATTGGGCTCCCAAAACCATCCAGTAGAGGTTCCTAATACCAGGTATCTATCTGCCCAAGATTACCTTGTGTCCCGGGAAGCCTACTGGTTTAAACATCCTGGCTCAGCTGGAGACCACAGGCTTCCATTAAGACAGCATTCTAGATCATTGTCAATCTGCCCTGGATTCTTTTGTCCCTCCCCTCTGCATAGATCACCCTGGGTGCTTTCTCTTTAATACCTCCTGTGCCCCTCCCTCATCAAGAGCCCCTGGGTGGTGTGAATGTTTAAGTGCTTTACTCCCAATCCAAAGATTGGTGGGTCACATCAAACGTGAGGTATCTCAGAATAAAGGTGGATGTGGGAAACAGAAAAGTTATTCCCCAATTGTCCTCCAGGGACCAATCCACTATATAGCCATTGGCCATGTGTTAGCAAGTAGCATCTTAGTGGGTTTGGCATATCATATGGGGGGGACAACCCGGGGAAAAACCTTTCTGTACCCCACAATATATGAGTGTATATGTATACACACACACACACACACACACACCAAACGTTGTCAGTGTGTTGTACTGTGCGGGGTTGCTTGTCTTGTGATGCTGGAAGTAATATCACTA